TTTCCAAAATCAAAATATATATAATGTAAGTGGACACAAAGCCCAGTTAAGGATGTAACTCAAGACGGCTAGATGAAGTATGTACTTTTTTCATACCAACTTTAAAATCATTATACGATCAAAACTACATACAGCTCCAACATCGACTCAATGCATTAGCTTCTCACCTACAACTTTTTATTGCACACGAAACTTACAGCCTAACAAAATAAAGCACATATTGTAGTGCCTTTGCATTCCAATTTAAATTCAGTGTGCACCAATAAACTGCAGTAAGAATAGAGCACTATTATTGGCGTCGATGATTTTTGGACATAAATAGAGACATCGTCACATATTTCTATCAACGTTAGTGATTTCTTATTATAGAACGTGAATCATATCATTTGATCTTGTTGATGCGAGAAAGGCAGAGAAAGGTTACTAACCTTTTTTCGTGACTACGGCGAAGCGAAAAGGGGGGTTATGATTTTGGCCGGTATATAAGAATGTTCAAATATAAGAAACTACTTATCGTAACTGGACACATATTGTATCATTAGAAGCGACTTATTTGTCTTTTGGACATTGCTACTATAATATAGCTATCCCTATAAAATAAATTTCTGGTTTCAAACTTTTTAAAGCGGGATTTATCTGTAGTCGGGTTTAAGTCTTTGAACATATTTTTAACAATGGGCAAGACATTATTGAATACTTCAAGTTAGCGACATTAAGGAGTGTTCTTTCCTGCACAGAGAAAATGCAGGAGCGTACCATCGATGTCCCGGATCTCTAGGTGATGCAAGAAAACCCTAGGGTATCTGCCTCTTAATGTACCGCGGTAATGTAAAATTAAATTACCGCGATACATTAAGTTAAAATGTCACATGACGTCACACTTTTGTACATTTTCTACAAAACCCTCACTCTTCAATTTTAATGCCTATTATCTAAGCTACTCGTATTTCTTGTTAAATTTTAGTGAAAAAGAATATGTAGCTTATATTTTTATATTGTCTGACTGACGGATTAAATGGTTTTTTTTGCAAATTATCATGCCTGTTGCCTATTGATAGTCGACTATTACTTTAGTTTAGTAATGAAGTAATGACGTCATATCGACAGTATCGATAGAGTATGTAACCTAATATTGTATCACCAAACTCGTTGTCACTATCGGTGCTAAAACTACCGATACTATTGTAGTGCGATAAAAGGTAAAGTAACACAGGGTAAAACGGACACCAGACCGCGTGGTCCAAACCGAGTTGAGTCGGAAGTGGCCTATATTGAAGACTGGATATACAAAGGGCCCCCATGGTGAGAGGGTAAAGTATTGATATACCTTCTTTAACGCACTATCAACATTGTAACTTATAAAATGTTAAGTTAATTGCAAAAATAATATATATATACACTTACAGTTAATTCAAAATAAAACATAATGAATTTTCAACATATTTAGAAATTTATTGTTATAACTGATAAGTAGCCAATTCTTCTGTTCATTTTAAATTAGGGTTTGTTTATTTTGCATTAGGGTTTATTTTAAAAACCAAAGCCATGCCATTCAAAACTTCTACAAAATTAAAATAATTAATTAAAAAAGAAAAATATAAAGAACCTTTTTCTAATAAATATACCTACTTTTAAGAGTACATTGTATGTTGTTTATAACAATTATTAACTAAAAAGCTTACTAATAAAAATTAGACCTAAAAGACCAGCAGCGAAATGGAGAAGCCTGCTAAAAAAGCTCTACGACAAGATCATTGAAAAAGATGCTGAAAATAATATTTCCTCCGCAACACCAAACAGCGCTCTCTAGGTTAAATAATTACATTAAAATGCATGTTCTCGGCGAGAACACTTTAGAAAAGTGGCTGAACTGGTTTGTCTACGGATAGCGCAAGAAGATACTTTAAAGAGAGATGAATAGATGGCGACACTTACTCATCAAGCTTAAAAATTATTTAAGGCAACAACAGATGTCGCTTCAAGGAATTCTATTTTCAATAAGCTGTAATCGTATAACATGTTGATAATAATAATTTTAATAAATAAACCAAGTTTGTGTCCAGTTCTATTAATTTTTGCTTTTTTAGAGATTTTACTTTAGTAATTTGAATAGATTTATATTTTTTAGAATAAAACAATACGATGATGCAGTCTATGAAACAGATTTTTTTTTTGGAAGTCATTATTACAAACATAGACCAAAATATGTTGAGTTTCAGTCGCATCTTTGTGAATTTTTCCTATTGCCATATTTTTAAATTAAAGTTTTGACTGTGACATATTAGCTACAGTTTTTTAAATTTCAATAACAGCTTATTTATGAACCTCTTAAGCATCGCAAGGGATCGCTTGTCAATGGACGTATAAGATGGGCTAGTTATTAGACTATCCCGAGCTTTTTGTGCTTAATAAGTGTAAGTTCATTGGCCGTCGTGGTAGGTTATGGCTCGTTCTCAATATTTTATTAGAACATTATTAAATCATTGGCAGGCTCACATTAATAAGCCAATAATTATAACCATAGCTATATCGGCAATTTAGATCTCTATGATGTTGAGTTAAAGAATCATAATTTTTATTTAAAAAAAAATAAAGTAATTCTTAAATCCAGCCTTATATTTTTATTGTCATAGACAACGTAATGTGAAGCTACAAACAGTGAAACTTCACGAGAAAACTGACTCGCATATTTTATGTCAATTAATATGTTACATCCGCATTCTATTGTATACGATTTATACTAAGAACTATTAATAAATCTATTAATAAGTTGACTATGGCAAATGTGTTGTAAAGCGAAATAATATATTAAATTGAAAATGTCGAGAAGAATAATTCGACCAAGCATGAGTACGATTTTTTATTAAAAACTTTTCGAAAAACTTATTTAAAATGTAAATTAATTCGAAACCCCTCACATTTTAAAGCTTAAGTACATTTTGAAGTATATTTTATTTGTTAGTTTTTTATCTTATAAAAATATATCAATACAGCACTTCTAATGCAAAAATCATCGCTTATAAAATTATATAATAATTAATATTAGATAACATAATCACGTTAGCTAAAGCTAGAGAAATTTCTCTTGTAGTTTACCTAGTTTCTGTAGTATCTGGGATTTTGTTAATATGTTTTAAACTAATTGAGTTTTTTATAGATTAAACACTATATGAAAGGAAGTGTATACATTATGAATATTATTATTTTTATTGTTATGTTAGACAACGTTATATGAAACAATTGTTTTATTAAAGATTTTATTTCATTAAGTCGGAATATGTCTTTAGATTCTAATATATGTAACTCATTTGATTATATATATGAAAATTAATAATTACGTATATTATGCTCTATAAAATGACCGATTATATTATTCGTAATGCACTCTTTGAGATTATAATTATGTCGTTGATATTTTAGATTGCGTTCTTAAAAAAAATATTAAATTGAATTTGTTGAATGTTTTACTCTCTACTAGATTTTAAAGGTTATTGGAGAGTTTATGGTTTGATATTTTACATTAGTATTTTTATAATCTACAAATCTAAAACCATTGAAAATATCAAATATCTTATTTTTGAAGATAGTTCAAACTTAAAAATTGATAAGATCCTTTCCAAGAACTTTCATCCAAAACAGATATAATGTTATTACAGAGCTAAAGCTTAAGTCACAATACTCTACAATAGATCTTCTCAGTTAATAGGCAGTATACTTTATACGAAATCAGTAGTGCTTTGGCAGAGAATAGACAGAGGATTTTGTATTTTATCAAGCAGAAAAAATCGCTAGTAAAATTATAAAGCAAGAATCATTCTAAGACTATCTCAGAAATGGGCGATTTCCTACTTTGTCTGTTATCCTGTACACAAGGAATTTTTACATTTCTTATTAAATATATTTGATATTGAAATCATAAAGTAACTTGTTTATAGAATAACAACAATACGAAAGCCATACTAGCACCGAGACTACCGTAAGAGTCATGTTCTATTCAATTCAATACTCGAAGGAGAAACGATCTTTTGTAGTCCATCTGATTCCAACTTAACTAAAGTGATTGTATAACATCAGATCAATATGAAACTTTTGATAGAAATAATATTATCCAAAACACGTAGATATGATACTTAAGTAAATTAAGTATTTATTAAAAAATAAACACTCAAGACTGTTTCCTCGAACGTACAACTATTGTTTCATATTTAACATTAGCTTTAGTCAAATAAATATTAAAACCTCATATAATGTGATTCTTATATAACATCACTACAGCTTATAAACAACCAATATTTTATCGAATTGGTCTTTCAAAACTACTGTGCCTGCTCATTGCTAGTAAAACATTATTAAGTCTATACCATGAATAGGCGGGAAGAGCATGAATATCTCTGGGACAAGTGCATTGAACACCCCCCTCCCCCTCGTGGGTCCCGAAGGCTTACCTGCGTCTGTGCTGCGACGATGCAGCCTCTAGAACCGCTACTGTGCGTGCATAGATTAAGCAAGCATAAACATTCACCACATTATGGTGAATATTATGCCTTCTGTTTATTATTATTCTAATCAAAATGTTAACTAGTTTATATATAATAGTATCAAATAGTTCAAACAATAACAACGCCTACGCTAACGCATTATTCTTAAACGCCTATTCTTTTTATTATAAAGAACCACTAAACACAATTCTATATATTATCACAAACTTAAAAAAGTAATGAAAATAATAATCAAAAATAAAAGTTCAGAACACTTATAGTGCAAGGAAACAATATAAAACACCAAAATGTTAATTACAAAGAATGTTTATATATTATATAAATCAATATCTTATTATGTTCTATTCATACATACAAAAAAGAATGAAAAGAAAACAAAATTTACATCAATACATTTTTAAATACCTACCAACGGTTCTGTTATATATTAGTCTTTGCCCTGGCTGTGGAATCGGCTGGCTGCGTGTGCGCCGAACTTAAAGCAACGTCATAAAGGCTGCGCTAGCGAGCGGGACTGACGCGCCTCGCGTACGCTACAAATGTGGTGATCAGTGAACTAGCATGCACCCTTGTGTGGAAGTGTGACAGTGACGCTATGTGGAAGTTAACACTGCCCGTGCTGCTGCTGATAGTGGCTTGCCGCGCGGAATTCCAAGAGAGAGGTAACAAAAAACTTTCATTGTAACGAACCAAGACACTTGCTGAACTGCAGAAACTCACGAACTTTTAGTGCTAAACGTTGTAAAGGAAATAGTGTTTCGAAAGCCGTTGTTTATTAACAAGGAATTTGCACGTGAACACAAATTGTAAAGTCGAACCTGTGTACTATTGTGTATTGAGGTCGTCATCCAAGTTCAGTCGTTACGTTTGAATACAACGTGTGGTGTAATTAAGAATCACTTGACGATCGCGGCTAAGACATAAAGCTAGATGTATAGAGAACGCTACGTCAAGTTATTGAGGAGCTTACTGTTGTTGGTAACTCAGAAGCGACATAACTAATCAAATGAGTTACACAACTACAAAATAAAGATTTCCAATGCTATAAATATTTAGATTGTATGAATATTTATTTTTGAGAATGTCAATAAGTTATGCACGTACTATTTAGCATCGAAACGCTATTAAAAACATAACGAAAGTGTATGAATACCTCTTAAAAAAATCGCAAGTCTCTATTGAACATTTACAAATACGTTACAAAGACAGGGTGTCCAAAACGAAATTTCAAAACAAAGTTAATGTTTATAAATATGACCACATTGACAATAGTGTTTAAAATTGTGCTGTCACTGTGTTACGAAAATGTGTGGATAATTTAGAGTTGCACGTCGTTGGGAGCGTGTAAAGACTTTGTCTAATTGTAATATCTGCTTTATAAATTATGACCAGGGCAAAGAAACTAGGAACCATAATTGTAGAGTTGTAAAAACAACGAGAACCGGTGTCTTTAAAGATGTAATATGTATATATAGGTATAGTATATTTTGCACTGTATAAATACACACAAATATTTAAAGGTGAACGTGGTTAGAATTTTGGAGTTCAGCCTGTTTGCGGACATAGATATGTTTATAATAATCATATACGGATTAAGTTACGTTTTTAATTTGTACCATGTTACAATAGCTTAAGGTGGCTTTTGAAAGTAACCAATGATTGGTCGTTACTCTTGAGAAATATTATTAAACAGATTCACATTTCGTGTATTCCGTTACATTTTATATTCTATTGGAATGATCTGCGTATAAAATAAGCGTTTAGGCAAACTGACCACTTAGATCTCAAAAATCTGGCGTTTGCAATAAAATTTCAAATATGATGTCATAGAATATTTTCGTTTTAATTTTAGCACATAAAACGCCGATTATTAACAAAAACCTGAAAGAATATATGACTTTTACTCTATCTTAAAAACATAAAGCTTTGTACCGTTACACCTAGTTGCACAAACGTCCATTAAAATTGCTTTTAGTTTATACGAAACTATATACTTTAAAACTTTATACGAAAATCCAAAAAAGTTCTAGTGGTCTAAAAAATTTATTAGTAAAATTAATCGAACAATTAATTCTTGTTTGAATACTCGCGAAACAATATTTAAATGTTATGAATTATGAACATTTATCATAACATTATTTGTAACGCTCTTATTGTTACATATGCAACGTGTAACTTATGAAAATTTGAAGAAAATAACTTCACGGTTTTTATCTTGTCACAACCAACAATATTATTTAAATTCTATAAACTAAGGTTTATTTATCTTTATCATGATTATTACTATGGCACTGTTACTGAATATATATCAAATTTCGGCTGAATAAATGCTACTATATAATAATAATAAAGAATGAGATGATAACATTTATATATTGAATGCTTTTAGCACTAGGTTTACATTATCTGTGGACAGCGGATAAACCCATCGAACTTAATTCTAATACGGATCATATTTCGACTGTAATTTTTAATTATTTATGAGATCATACTACGTCAACATAACAAAAAATTGCTCTTTAATATTCATTACAGGATAAAAGTAATGTACAATAATTATCCGCAATTCGTCCATGAAATTTGAATGGTTATATATCTTCATTCTCAAAAGAATTAAAGTAATTCATATAATGGGAAACTTAAGAGATTAACTTTTGCTCTTGAATTTTTATTACCATAATGTTTTAAGTGATGAAAGTCTTCACTTTAACACATGTTCCACCAACTCCAGCTTACAGTTAAGAATTTATTATCAGATATATTCGTTTTTATCATTGTTCAACATTCAGTAAACAAAGTGTCAAATGCATGGTACATGTGTAATGTTTTCTTTATTAAATGTTTATTTTAAACGTAATCTTAAAGATAAAAGGATTCTGCATTTCCTTGAAATATAAATTTCAAACGTGCTAAATTTTATACGTATATTATTATACGTATTATTTATACGTATATAAGTATAATATTATAAACGATCTTTTAAATAAAGTAAATTATTCCATTAACAATCGATGACTATTAACAATGGATTATTACTATTAGGACGGAAAATGTTATACACAAGTATGTATATAAATATATCTCAACAGGATGAGTAAACGCGAATATTAAATTATTTCAATGAATCTGCACTCATCATTCATATTTGCTAAATATAAACCATTCAATTGGTTTATAATAGTCCTCAATAAAATAAATAAGTAATTAACTTATATCAGTAAACAGTTGATTGCGTATGTTGCCAACGATCTCATTAAAAGCTTTTCTAGTATTTGCATGTATACTTTTTGAAACTTTTTATATTTTCTTTTGTAGGTACTTTGTTTAGATAGATTTTGTTTCATTACATGTCGTTATCGATGATTTATTTACAAACACCTTATATGCCAGTCTGACTGTAACATTAGAGATATAGAAAGGAAACAAATAAGCACTACGTTGCGATTAATATAGAGTTTTTCTTATTTACTCATATTATTACTTATTTCTTCATATTATTAAATTATGTATTATATTATAATTTGAACGACAAAAATACTCAACTCGCCACTAAACTTATTTAGGGGCAGTAACAGAGTAACTGACAGTTTGAGTCGTACTTAAATTTAAATACTCAATTCAGAAACCGGGTGAAAGTGTATAAATGTAATCATACATACTTTTTATAATACCACAATAAAATTTAGGATATAGCTTACTAACAATTGTTTATTTATAGTGTAAAGAAGGAAAAGTCATTCTTTTCTCTGAGACTTGCACGCTACTATTTCAATCTTTATTAATCACAATACATTTTAAATCTAGAAGTACCTGCAAGCGTTACTCTTTGGACATAAACTTAAGACAAATAATAATAAAATACTCATACAAATTTTAAATTTATCTTTGATCTATTGTAGAACGCAAGGAATACGCGTTTTAAATTAAAACTAATTAATAGTCTTATTCAAAAAATAAGTTTTGCTGGTTCATTGAATAAGTGAATAAAAATTGAAATTCTGACCTCCTTTTTCGAAGTCAGTAAAAACTACAGAACAATTAGTTTTATAGAGAACAGTTAAAACATTTACTGCGAAGCATTATGTGTAGAAATCTCATGGCATTCCCTTCGAACTGCCGATGCCGCCATAATAGGCGGGTAAGAGGTGACATCTAGTGGTTAAGACCGCCAACTTAATTGCACTCGAGCGGAAGAGAAAACTAGGAAAAACTAGTGATAGAACAGGTTCTGTGGGGAACACAATTTAGTTATGCGGACGACTAGCTGTATACACTGTATGGTAGTAATTGTGTATCCTAGTTGGCTAGACATTTGCTACAATGATATGTATGTTGATATTTGTTTATTATAAGTTTATAACTGCTTTTTCGCGAATTCAATCGCGTATGATGTAGTATCCCGTAGATGAAGGAATTTGTCAAATCTTTTATCTGTTAAATAATAGTATAATCGGCTCAAAAAAATCATTGAACTCCTTTTTGGGAAAATACTATGGACATAATAGAAGTACGACACAATTAAAATTTATATGGAGAAAAAGTGAAGAATGCTGCCTTTTTTGTAATAATGTTAAGACTTTGAATTAAGAAACACTACCATGATAAACTTAAGACGTATTATACAAAATACGTTTGACATAATTGTTCATTGCATATGAAACTATCATAAAGAAGTACGAATAAATATTTGATGTAATTACAATCAAACTTTTTTGAGGCACCATCATGTAATCAACTCATGATATTAAATCTTATTTAAGCGAAATATACCAACTATCCCAAAACGCGTTTAGTAGTCTTTCTTCCGAAGAAAATTTTGAGCTATCACTTATATGGTCAGAATAATTTTAGAATTATAACTTAAAAATAAACACGAGCTACGTCTCTCATATGAATTTCTCAAACAAATTTCACCACATCATACATTTGACATTTCAATTAGTAATTTTAGATGTGGATTTAGTATGAATTTGGTTTTAAAAATATGATCTTGATGAAACAGAGGCTGAAGAGGAAGGGCACCACACAACTGTTTAAACAGGTCACCATAATCAAAACACATTCAGCATTTTTTAATGTAATGACAGTGATTATCGTGCCGCCATGTTAATGTCATCATTATTTGCCAATAGCGATCCGGTATCATGTTATACGTATGCATTTGAAATCATATTATCGCGGATATACCAACTAGTTAGTGTTCTGTTATAAAAAAAGCCCGAAAGTAGTCGTTCAGCGCAACGAAGTCATAACATAGAGGTTAAGTCAAATAAAACCTACTTTAAAAGTTATTGAAGGATTTACTTCATTAAAGCTCTATGAAATTTCTTCATTAAAGCGCGGCGTTTGACGATTTTTTTCTAGCAGTTTTACAATGGTTTAACATAACAGTATTCTATTTAAGTAAGACACAACTGTCTATACCTTTGTTTTTTCGCACTTACACGTTATCCTATCTATTTCAATAATTATCCTAAAGGAAACAGGTCCCAACTCTACATCGAATGCCAATTACAATCTTAAATGACAGACAGCAATTTATTGAAAAATTACTAAATTCAATCTAAACGTAGATAATCCACATCGAATGCAAGTTACATTTATTATATAATGTCCTTTCACGTATTAACTAAAAGTTAAAGAAAGAAGTATATATATTACT